GAGTGTGTGTGTGTGTGTGTGTGTGTGTGTGTGTGTGTGTGTGTGCAAGAGAGAGAGACAAAGACAGAAAGTACTTATTAACTTGACAAGCTTTGTGGTTTGTAATTTGTAGCACCATCAGTTGTTCATTGTTATTTATACTGATGGTGGTAGCCTCTGGTTAAATTCAATTTAAAAAATGGCCATCTTCACTTTCATGTCAGGTGAATCAAATTTGATTTACATCTTTAGCTGAAAAGGGCATAATTTGTAACTGTATCAAACCGGATGTTTGAGGTTGGCGCTCGACGGATCTATCAAAGGCACATAAGTAGATAAGAAATGATCAGAAAAGGAAAAGTTTGCGTTGGCCGGGAATCGAACCCGGGTCAACTGCTTGGAAGGCAGCTATGCTAACCACTATACCACCAACGCTGTCTCTACCATGGGACCGAAAATATGAACTTCTTCTCCGCCAGAAGCACAGTTGCTATGACTGTGCAAAGGTTCGAGTTTCAGTAAAGACAGTTGGCAAAAGTGTCTTAACCCCTACGGGGGTCGAAGCCACGCCCTTAGCGTTATTAGCACGACGTCCTAACTAACTGAGCTAACCGGACACCTTTTGCAGGGTTTGAGGTTACACAATCTTCTCTCCTTTAGGTTCGTAATGAGATCCATATTTGATCAAACATGACAATGCAGCAAATAATCCCATGAACCAAAACAAAGAGACTCCGTACTCCAGACACATTCAGCTATATATACTGCTGTTTCCCCCTGTGAGTGCAGACCTCGTGGCGCAACGGTAGCGCGTCTGACTCCAGATCAGAAGGTTGCGTGTTCAAATCACGTCGGGGTCAATTCTTTTTTTGTTCAAATTTTGTGTTTTGTTGTTTGGACACATCTATTGAATTTTTGTGTGCTTTCATATAAAATATTTTCATTCATAGCGTCATCATCATTATATAATTGAATGAGAATATAATATATTCTGCAAGTCCAAGGCAGTCACACTCATGGCTTACTGGCTCCCTCAGAACAATGGACACTAACATCTGAGCACTCCTGAAGCCACTGCCTCCTTCTCTTCATTTACCCCTCTCACAGAGGACGAGGTATCAAAGCTTTTCACAGGCAGCCACCCTTCATCCTGCCCACTGGATCCTATTCCCATCACCCCCCTGCAAGCCATAGATCCAACCGTTGTGGCCGTTTTGAACACATGTTACACCCCTGTTCACTGAACTCCATCTACTTCCCTTAGCTGCTTGCATCAGATTCGAATCATTGATGCTGTCCTGCAGTGTTTGAAGAGTCTGTGCCCATCCACCTCAACACCTGCTTAATACCCAATGTCCCTACTCGCCCACTCCGTTTCTCCAAGGACAGCAAGCTAACACGGCCAAAGGTCAATCTGGATTCTTCTCATCTGCAGTTCCATGCTGGTGGAACGACCTTATAAGCACTATTAGAGCATCAGATTCTCTTTCCTCCTTCAAATAATCCTTGAAGACCCAACTCATCCGAGAGTATCTCTTGTCCTGAAAACTGTAAATGCTCTTATTTCCTGATAGGATGTAGCACTCAGTGTATGGTACTTGTGTTATCTAGGTAATATTTGAATGTTAAATCCTTAATGTGAAACCCTCTGGAAGCATATTGCACTCAAGGTAAGGTAAGTGTGTAACTGGTGTTATAATTGAAAGTTAATCAATCTTTTTTGGAAGTAGCTTTAGAGAAAAGCATCTGATAATTGCAGAAATGTAAATGTTATTTTCGAGTGGGCACAAATCAAGAGGTCCAGGGACTAAATATCCAAAATAAGGGCTCGTCCGGGATTTGAACCCGGGACCTCTCGCACCCTAAGCGAGAATCATACCCCTAGACCAACGAGCCACCTCTTGCTGAAGCATGCAGTCAGAACGCACACAATTTGTCACCTCACCTCCGTTATGAATATGTTACATTGCATTCTTGAGAGTTAATCCAATACAACAAACTATCTGTATATGAGGTGGATAAAATGCCAAAATGTTAGGGGAGGGAGAAATTGTATTTCTTATACAATTTAAAAAATTAGAACATTAGAAACAAAATGATGTGGCAAAATCCTTCAAGTCGACTTGTAGTGGAATTAACCACGCTTCTCTCTCGAAATGGCAAAGATTGTGATACAACTATTTATGTGACTTCGTCAGACAAACATATTGAAGAGCTAAAAGAAAGTGGTAGAACCTTCGGGTCTTGTTACTTCGGTATGCTGGTGTATAACTACCCGGCTACTAGTATTAGGGGCTAACATGTGCGAAGTACACGTTAGCGTCTTTGCCTGTTTAGGTACTGAGTATGGACGTGTTTATGTATGGGGAACAAATAGATGGATGTTGTGTCAGAAAATTATTATGCATTATTGATCTAGCTTTAAATCGATTAATAAAATCAACGTGCTTAAGATACACAGTATCAAATTAATTACACTATTGTCACAGTGCTGCTTCAAATGTATGGCATTCTATTTTGTTTATGCATTTACAAACGCTTTTATCCAAAGAGAGATTATATTCACCTTGTATTAGCCTATCAGCAACATCTCGACTAATGACTCTGGTCAAATGTTTAAATAATTTGAGTAATATGTGCAAGATATGTACAAAGTGCCAGATCTATTTTTGTCCTACAACCGTGGAGGATTAACCTCATGCCCTTTTGGGTTACAGAAATGTACTCAGAACTGCCAGACATCTTTTGGATTCAGTTATTCTTTTAAAGTAGCAGTCTTCGGGATGTTGTATCTTATAAAACATGTAATCCCACAAAGGAGCTGCATATCTTCTGCAGTAATAGAAGAGCCATATCTGGCCTGCGTCATATCGTTTCCGTAACGGTTTAGTCGTTTTAAGTAAAACCAATGTCCACTTTGCGTAATTCACAGCATATATATTTGACATGTCTGGGTGTACTATGATCGGGATTACTGGCGAATACAGCCTGAACGGTGTTTGCCACTCTGCACTAGTCAGCAAATCTGTACACAGCATACGGGTTTATATGTGTTGTCATGTGACCTACACTCAGCCATCTTGTGGAAAACGAAGAGAGAGAGCCACTCAACACGCATACAAACCCTGTGCTGTCAGAACTAGCAGAGGTAAGACAGCCAAAGTTTCATCCACTAGCCAAGAATATCCGTACATTTGAGAGAAGCGCAGCATCCGAGGGACATGTTCTGTCAAGCGGGGGTGGTTAGGAGGGCTGTTAAACTACCATGTTGACTTGGCCTCGCAGCACCGGACTCGGCTGTGTGTGTGTGCTGGTCCGGGCCGAGTGAAGTGCGGGGCGGCTTGACGAGAAAATGTTGTTCATCCAGGCTGCTCAGTAGGCCGCGTGTGGGTAGTAGCTAATCTGTTAGCGTGCTAGCTACAAGTGTCGACTTTATTGATTAACTTCTGCCGGAGTGATAATGTCAGTCGTTTGACTGGTGTGGTGAACTGCCTAACGGTCAACCCGCGTATTAATCTCCACGTATGACACACATATATGTGGACAGGCTTCCATGAAACACGGCTTGCTAGTTAGCCGGCTAGCCCGCTAGTACAGCTGGCTGTCGTGTAGCTGGTTATCGAACATACAGTGGCAGCAGCGTGCAATAGAAAGGTGCTTAAACCACAACTCTCTCGCTGACTTTGGTTGAAGGGATCAACTTCAAAGCAACGCAGTAAAAAAAGTGGCTAATGTAAGATAGGGTTGTTTCGTTGAGTGGTAAATATGGAGTGTGCTCGCAACTTCAACTAAGGCAGTGGTGGCAAATGAGGGTTATTTCCTCTTCACCTTCCTACTGTCCACCGTATTGAGGTCTGAAAGCCATTCAGCACAGCTATGTCCCGTAACGTGACGAACATTAGCCCCAGCCTGAGCCGCACTAGCTAACGTTAAGTAACGCCAATCGCGTGCTGCATATACTTTCCGTTGGTGTTTACATTAAACAACATGGATCAACATTAAAGTTGCTAGCACAGATGATGCGTAGGGTAGCAATCCCAAGAAAACATCGAGTCATTAAAGCTGTATTATCTGTTCGCAGAAACTAGTGGTGTCTAAATAAAAAAGGAGCTTTTCATTTGGCAGGGTGGTTAAAAATAAAAAAAGAATCTTTTTTGTAGTTTGGTCAGTTGGCTGCTTTTTTACATAATTCGTTTTAAGCAAATAACGCCAACTCGAGCTAGCTCAATGCTTTGCTTTGTGTAAACTTGTACGAATCGCACGGTAGAGTGGACTAAAGTTGTCACAAACTTATTGCGTGTATCGGTATTATTTACTCCGCCTGGCAGTTTACACGTGGCTTACGCAGGTTTCCATATGGGCAGTGGTCCTTTAGCCCTCCACCCTTTTCGTACTTTATATTTGTGGAACCACAGCAACATTACAGGGTTTTTGTTGTCGGTCAGGTCAGGGACTTTAGTGTTTACAAGCAACAGATTTTTAAAGGTACAATATGTTTTTGTGTTTTTCAAAGGTTATTTGCTCATGTTGTGAATAAATTGGTAATTACAGGTGTCTGTCATGCTCATCCAGACTCAGAGACCTTTAAAATAGATGTCTCACATTGAATTTGCACTCTAGTTTTGTGCCTGTGGGATGGGCCTTAGATCTTAGGGAGCTGGAATACATTAAAAAAAAAAGAAAAGCCAATTTAAATCATAGTCACACTAGATGTTTGTTAGATTACCTAATTACATGTATACAAAACCTATTTTAGAGATATCAAAGTTTATTGGAAATTTATGACACATTATTAACCTGTTTTCGTGTTCGATAAAATATTTCTGGACTTGTTCTCCAATATGTAGAAATGTAATTTGAATAAATACAGCAAACTGTTATATCACTTATGAATTAATGATAATACCACTGAGGTCATTGTTCTTTTTTTTTTAACTAAATAGGGCAACACAGATACAAATATAAGATTCTTTGTATTCTGGAAAAACTGTGATGCCAATCCACTCTTTCCTTTTGCATGTTTGCAGAACTTCAAGGAAGAATGGCTGAAACCCAGACGCTTAACTTTGGACCAGAATGGTAATTATATGAGTGTGAGGCACAGATGAGTTCAGGTTGTCTGAAAGTTTTGGGGTTGTTTTTTTTGTTTTTTTTTAGCCTAATACAGCTTTTCCAGACACGTTCCAACATGCCAGCTCCGCTTCTGCTGTTGTCTCCTGGTTCCTTTTGTGCATTTTGTCTCACCACACCGTCTTCCCCCTGCAGGCTCCGTGCTCTGTCTGGCGGTGGCAGCGGCGGCGGCAGTGGTGGTGGAAGCAGCACCGTTGTTGCTTCTCCACCCCTCTCACCTGCTTTGCCAAAGTATAAACTTGCAGACTATCGCTACGGAAGAGAAGAAATGTTAGCACTTTATGTAAAGGATAACAAGGTGGGTAGGTCCACAATGTGGCGATCCAAGCTGTTGATACACTCAAAATTTAGATAAAAGTCTTGGGCATCACATTTCCAGTTTCATAACTCAGTGTACAAAGACTTATTAATTGTTCTTGTAAGAAAAAGGGTTTTTCTCTGTCTCTCATCAAGATCCCTATAGACCTACAAGATAAGGAGTTCTTGTCCATATTGCAAGAGGAACCCCTGCCACCTCTGGCACTCGTGTCTTTTACAGAGGAGGAACAGGTATGAGCATCATGTTCAAAGTCTAAAATAACCAAATTAATGTTGCATTGGCTGCAGGCCAGTTTACTTTCTGTTGTCTTCTATTAGACTTACATATTAGTATACAAAAAAATAAAAACACAGCATGGAGCTAACCGGTTTCCCTCTGACTCCCCTTGTTTGTATTTGCAGAGAAATTTTTCCATGTCTGTAAACAGTGCAGCTGTACTTCGGCTGACAGGGCGAGGAGGTGGACCGATCGTCGGAGCACCAAGAGGCCGAAGTACATCAAGAGGTAGAGGTAAGAATTCAATTAAACTCACACACAGATCTGCCAGTATCCTCTTTCTGTTTCAAGGATAGTTGATGGCTGTATGATGAATCTTATGCAGTGGAATTAAAATAAAAGATCACACTTTCCAGGGCATTGGTTTGATCTTTATAGTTGCTCTGTGTTTGCATTCTTAGTTTCACCTGCAAATAGTTCAGTTTCTCTCGAGGAACCCACCATTTTTGCTTGCTGTTGAGGGACATAAGGTGTAATAATAGTACTCTCTGGCTTTCGAGCTTCCTCAGCATACTTTTGACCTCAGCTGCTTGCACCTATAATTGATGTGCCTTGAAGGTGCAAACCCTTTTTGGGACAAGTCATAAATGCATTTCAACCAATCCTTTTCTGGAGTTGATATGTCTTAAGGCACGCTTCAGTTCCCCAGTTTGGAAATATCAATGCACAACATTTGAACTATAAAAATGCCCATACTGTAAAAATGGCAGGTTTTGATGATCTTACTGCTGAAGTGTGCTTCCTAGCTTGACTCATTTCTAGGCTCCTGTTCAACAGTGTGGCATCTACTTGGCATACTTTTGACCTCAGCTGCTTGTTGCAGAGAGGACTATCTTGGGCCTTTAAATACATGCAATTCCAACATGCTGTCGTATAGCAGTGGCCTGTGAGGTGTAGAGTGATGTGCTTTACAGCTGGAACAGAATGTAGTAAAGCTCCAAGACGTTGGGGTAAAAAAGTTGTCAAGAATAGTCCAGTACCTTGATTCAGTAAATCTAAGAGATGGATACAACTGTTGTTAAGTCTGCAGGCTGGTTTGGGAAAGAATATAGTTAACAATGTATCCTTCACCCAACATAAAGTTAACCATAATCTCTACATTTGGATACAGTTTTTCTGGTCCTCTGATAGGGACGGTCTCAAAGGTTACCAAAGTTAATTTAGAATTTCATTAATGGGCCCATGTCAACGTTTCAGGGCGGGGGAGAGGTGATGGAGGCTTCTACCAAAGAAGTTTTGACGACGTGGAAGGCTTTGGCCGTGGAGGGAGGGAGATGCACCGCTCTCAGAGCTGGGAAGAAAGGTATCCACTTGTGAATTACTGATTCCAAAGTTTACTGGCAACACCAGTATTTGTTTTGATCTCATCTCTCTATTTTTTCTTTTAGTTCTGACTTTAGTTTTTTTCCCCCTCCTACCAGGGGTGATAGAAGATTTGAAAAGCCCATTCGGAAAGACCCAGGTTGGTTTACATTTTGTTCCTCAAATAATCAATACATGAACTATTGTTTCTTTGTTTGGCATATGTCTTGACTGTCCTACTTCTTGTTCTCCATAAACATAGCAGAGGCTTCTCCGGGACATTTTCAGATCAATCACAGTAAGCATTTTATGAGTTGGATAAATATATCAGCTAAAAGTTGGGATTTCTGAGAAGGGATAAAGATGGGCATGATACTATTAGTTTTATTCTTGTTAATTATTTATTATTCACTATTCTCCGAGTATAATCGTGCTCTCTGTTTAATCCTGTTCCGTGTCACCTTCACCTGTGGCCCTGCACACCGCTCACACAGTCCGAGGCAACTACGAGGACGGAGGAACAGGACTACCGAGGAAACACGACTTCACGCGCTCCGAGAGTGAGAACTGGCGTACTTCCCGCGATGATCAGAACGGTGAGGAGGATGAGGGGGGCTGGCCACTGTCAGGTTCTCGACGGGAGAGCGACCGGCGGTGCCCCTCGAGCCCAGGTGGCCACTGGAACAACCCTGTCACCCAGGCCTTTATCTTTGATTGAAGATCTTAGATAAAGGCATGGGCGGTTGTGTTGTTCGCTTTTATAGTTGATGCAACATTAACCCCACCTGCCTGACATTGTTCATGACGTGATGGATCTCCGCTCAGAGATTTGGCTTGTTCTTTGGACTGCCCCGCACAAGCTGCCCCCGAGCAGTTTTTGCACTTAAGCGGGTCACATTTCCCCCCCGATAAAGGCTGCATCAGTCATTAGCGTCAAACCTTTTTCCAGCCAACCATTTTATCCTAAAGAGATATTCAGTGTAATTCACCATGTCCCCAGTGGATATATCCCTAAAAGCTGATTGGCTCCCAGTGTCACTGGATGTTCATTTCTGTAGCTGTCTCTGCTTTTTGACTTAAGCATGAATAATTAAGATGATTATGTCTCGTTTAGTTTAGTTTGGATGCACCTCCTTTTGTATTCACTGGGTTATCAGTTTAACCCTTTTCTTTGTGCGTGCGTGTGTGTGTGTTTTCTCAGATGGGCCTCGGTCAGCAGGGTGGCGGGAACACCCAGACCAGCGTCGACGTTTTCCATTCGATGCCAGAGAGGACGAGCGTGGCTACAGAAGGCCACGGTCAGGCAGTGGTAGCCTGGAAGACGAGAGGGACAGCTTACCGGAGTGGTGTCTTGAGGACGAAGAGGAAGAGGCGGGCACATTTGACTCGTCTGGAGCTTTCCTCTCTCTCAAGGTCATAGTTTTTTCTAAATAACTGGCACTGCCTCTTTGACATCACAGAACAGATCGTTTACCTACTCACAGAAAGCTTTATGGGTGAGATCTGCATAGACTTTTTTAAAGTATTTTTTTTTTCTTTTTGTCATCAGAAAGCCTCAAAGGAGCCAATCCCAGAGGAGGCAGAGCTCGATTTCAAACCTCTGGAAGAGTGTGAGGAGGGCCTGGAGGAGGAGGATGGTCCACCCAAAGAGACCAAAGAGATGGAAAAAGAGGCCAAAAAAGAAACTGACAGAAGAGGTCAGATTTATATCAACAGTGTGACTATTTCTCTCCGTCTTTCTTTTTACTGTGTAATTACACTTTATTTGAATAATTTGCTTTGAAAATGAGCTTTTTACATCAATTTGAAGTCCATATTATTGACTGATTAAAAAGGTTTTGCCTTTAAAAGTTCTTTTTAGGATTTACGACTTTATTACTTTCCCATTGACTTCTTTCTGCATTTCATCAGACATATGACACTCTTTATGTCTCAAATTTAACCGAATCAGATTTTTATTATTTTGTAGTTTTGTATTATCTGTTGTTTCTATTATAGTCAGATTTCCATATATGGCAGTAGTAAAAATGAAAAACATTAGACACACCCACTCCATAGTTAATAAATTATGTTTTAGTGAGTCCAAACTTTTGCCTGGGATTGAATATTGTCAGAAATCACAAACTGAAATGTCTCTTCTTAACTGTTTCAGAGTTGGGTGGCGCTTTAGAAGAGGCCCCACCTGTCGTTCCACCTGTTGCTCCAACAGTCTCTGAGCCCCTGCCCCCTGCTCAGTGTTTGCCCCCGAACCAGCCAAACAGAACCGAGGAAATTGAGAGACCAGCTGAGCGGCAGCCCCCCCTGGAGCTCCCCAAAGAGGCCTGCAAAGCCCCTCTGCATGTCCCCATGTCCACTAGCATGCTGGAGTCCCTTCCCATGGCCCACATTTCCACCACTGCTGCAGGTGGGACATTTGCCTTCATTTTTTTCTGGCAAACCTTTTGTTTTGACGTGTACTTGGTTTCAGGTAACAGAGAAATTAATACCTGCTTTTTTCATTTTTCCAACCCTGGAGAAGTTTCCGCTCCGTCGCCAATCGTTCAGCTGCCACAACAAAAGCCTGTAGAAGTCTCTGTGGCATTGAACAATCCTTTACCATACCCTTCAAATATGATGGCACCTATTTGCAGGCCCATCTCTGTGCCACATGAAACTGATGAAGACGAGGGACTAAAACACTTTGAGCAGGTAGGTTTTGTCGGCATTTAAATTAAACGCATTAGTATCACTTTTGTCTTCAACTAGAGCTCCACTTTTCATACAGTGTCTTAAAGGCTTGCGTTTGTTTTAAGAAAGAATCTTTTTTTAAGTAATATCCACTCTTTTAAATTCCATTAAATTACCGTCAAACAAGTACTGTGCCCTTTTCCATTTCTTGTCCAGGAGGCAGAAAAGATGGTAGCATACCTGCAGGACAGCGGGCTGGATGATGACAGACTTCCGGCAAAGACATCGGAGAAGCCCAAGCCTGCCGGCCTGCCTCTCACCCATGAAGCTGCTCTCAAGTGGTTTTACAAAGACCCGCAGGGGGAGATCCAAGGTGAGAAGACATTTCACCAGCAAATGATCACGTTCTACCCCTTTTCGATCATAGAAACTGTTCCACAATAAGCCCTCTCTGTCTTTCGCTCCCTCAGGTCCTTTCAGTAATCATGAGATGTCGGAGTGGTTTCACGCCGGTTACTTCACCATGTCTCTGTTAGTCAAAAGAGGCTGTGATGAAGTGTTTCAAGCTCTGGGGGAGATGATGAAGATTTGGGGAAGAGTGCCATTCACTCCCGGGCCAGCACCCCCACCTCTACAGGTAAAAACCCCTGTAAAATGTTATCCATTTGAATGCTGCTGTTAGTGGCTTGTCTGTGCCCCATTTCTTAGCATCTTTTGCAAAGCTCACTTTTAGATAGATTAAAAATAGCATGTGGTAACAAATATAGCCTGCTGGTGATAAAACATCAAACTTCTTTCAGAACACAAACGCTGCAGTCTCTGGAGTCTGTAAAAGTGTATTACTGCATTATAAACTCAGACTGTGGCTTCTGACTACATACAGATTGCATTAACTACATTACAGGCTGTCTGAAAAGGCCTGAAGATTACTTTTAAGTTGTGTAGCCGTAGAAACTGTTTTGTTACACACTTTTATCCAGCACTGGTGCCAGTACCCACCAGTGACCTGTAGATGGTGTCTGCTTCCCATTTTTGACAGTTTATTTATCTTCAGATTTAAATGATCTAAAATTTCCTTTTGGATAATATTGATGTATTTAAAAAAAAATAAAAGTCAAACTTTAATTTTAAAGATTCATTAAATAATAAAACTGTTTATTTGGGTTCATACCTTTTTTGTGAAGGTGATCGCACATATTATGACCTATTTCCACCTCTGTTTCCTATTTGCTGCCTCTGGTTTTGAAAGTAAACACGGCACAGAATTCTCTCGAACTAGGTTTTCGTTTACTGAATGACCGAAGCGTCTTTAGTTGGGAAAAAGGTAGCCGGAAAGTCTGAGTCGGAATAGGTTGGTTTAAATGGAGAGAAAGATTTTTTGACCCTTCACGGGCTTCATTCCAGGTCTCTGGTTTTTATTTGTTTTGGAATTATATTCCGTGATCTTACACATCTCTAATGCTTTTTTAGTTTCTCATTTACGGATTTAGTCAAGCAAAATTTACCAATAGATGTTTTTATTTCCTGAAAGTTCCTCGTCAGCTTTGTACAGAGTCAGCTTCGAGTTTCCACATAATCACAGGAAGCAGCCAGCTTGTCTGAGAAGTGTTTCTAATTTAGTTGCGATGTTGCAAATTCTGTTTAGAGAAAAGCCTTTTTAAAAACTCTGTTTTCACTATCTACTTTCACCAAAATTCTTTACAGGGACGATCACAGAATAAAAAGAAAAGTATTGAGAGGCTGATTACTTTTTTTTTACTTTTCAGGATTAAATTGCAATATTTGTCAGACCGATGTGATTTAACATCCCTGTCTTCTGTGTTGCAGGCAGAGGGAGACCAAGAGAGGTTAAAGAGGCAACAGGAGCTCACTGCTCTCAACCTTTACCAGTTACAGCAGCTCCAGTATCAATACCTCCTCAGGTATACCACTAGTGTTATGTTGCTTTCCTATATGTAAGCCAGCTTTATTCCCATGACCTGCAAACAGACTTTTGCTTGTTCAATTTTCTTTTATTTATTCAGTGTTTTAATTTATTTCTCAGATCAGAGGAATGTTTGGACAAATATTGAACTTTTCCTGTGTTCAACAGCTTTCCGCTATATGGCTCCTGGGCCTACAGCTATGTTTAACTGGTTTTACTGGTCACTGGGACGTTTGGATGAACAGTAAAATCTGTGTGTAGAACACATGTGGCCACATACCCCTGTGACTCAAAGTTGTTACCTATCATTTATTTTTCACAGATAGTCCTTAACATGCTATTTTCTGAAGTGAAGTGAGGTCATGAGGCTTGTGAAGTAACAGCTGAAGTAAATGAGCTGTGTTAGAGCTGCAGCTGCTGCCTTACTAAAACTACATATACTTAACTGTCGCCGATGAGTGGACAACATATTGCCATCATGATCATGTTGTGCCATTCTCCATGCATTAACTTGCTCGCTTTTAAGCTAGAATTAAAATATTCTAGTCTGAAACAGTTTATCACCAAATGACATCGTGGCCTCTCTCATTTTTCCTGGTTCCTCCTCTGGCTCCCCGCAGGCAGCAGTACGCCCAGGCACTGGCTCAACAGAAAGCTGCGGCCCTCAGTTCGGCTCCTCAACAACAGCAGCAGCAGCACCAACAGCAGATCAACCTGCTCCTACAGCAATACCAGGCTCTCAAGTTAAGGTTGAGCTTCCTATTTTTTCCAGAAATGTTATGCGCACCATCGCCACGGGAACATGTCATTCATTTGTTTTAGTCTTTTTTGTAGAGCTTCCGAGAGCCTTCTACCTCCTGTCACCCGGGCCTTGTCTGTACCAGACTCTGGGTCTGTGTGGGAAATGCAGAACCCATCCTCTCAGGCTTCCTGCACACCGAACCTCCAACAGCCTGCTGCAAGCTGTAAGTGTCCAACATAGATGTGCTGCATGGTCAAATACCGGAAACTAAGTAATTTAGTTGATCACCTTCTATTGTTTACTACAGCATGGGAAGGCAGCAGTGTATGGGATCTGCCTATAGACTCAGTGGCTCAGGCTCCAACTATAGAGCAAATGCAACAGTTTGAGAAGGCAAAGTCTGCTAAGGTAAGGCAAATGTCTCCACTTATGATGAGCCTATGCTGTTTGAGGTTTCAGGCCTCTGTCGGATAAATGCTTTTTATGCAAATGAAACGGCAGTTATGAATGGCTGCATCTATTTCCATAAATAGGCAGATTTGAGTTGATCCGATATAGAAAATACGCGTAAATGCTTTTTTGTCTTTGCCTTCTGCCAGCTTGAGCTGGAGAGACGTGATGCAGAAATGAGGGCAAAACGGGAGGAAGAAGAGAGGAAACGTTTGGAGGAGGCCCTCAGGGCACGACAAGAGGAAGAGCGAAAACGCTTAGAAGAAGAGGAGCTGGCTCGGCAAAAACAGGTTGACCATCTTAACAGTGTCAATATGGAGCAGTTAACATTTCTGTTTGATGGAGGTTCTCATACAGACACTAAAAATATGCTTGCAATCTGTAGGAGGAGGCACTCAGAAGGCAAAGGGAGCAAGAAGAGGAACAACGGAGACAAAAAGAGGAAGAGGAGAGACTGGCACAGGAGGAGGCTCTCCGTAGACTAGAGGAGAGGCGAAGGGAAGAGGAGGAGAGGCACAAGCGGGAGGAGTTCCTTCGCAAACAGGTCAGCTGGCAGAGATGCGGTTCACCTCAGACTTTGTCTCAGTATTTGATTAATCGTTGTCGGCCTCTGCCTCGTCAGGAAGAGGAGCGCAGAAAGCAGGAAGAACTCGAAGCTCTGAGGAGGCGTGAGGAGGAGAGGCGAGCGGAGGAAGAGGCAGCTGCTGCCGCTGCAGCCGCAGCTGCTCAGGCACAGCAGCACGAGGAGCAGAAAAGGAGAGAGCAGGAGGCCCAAAGGCTACAGGAGCGGCAGAGGCAGCAGCAGCAGGAGGCGCTCAGAAGACTGCAGCAACAGCAGCAGCAGCAGCAGCTCGCACAAATGAAGGTGAGGCCTCAAAGACCGCATGGCGCAAAGTCCAAATTACACTCAAGGATGACAAAACGGCATCTCCTGCTCCACAGCTTCCATCCTCTTCAAAGTGGGGACAACAGTCAGCCAACACTATAAGCCCATCTCAGAATGCCCTGTCACTGGCTGAGATCCAGAAACTAGAGGAGGAGAGGGAACGACAGGCACGGGAGGAGGTAAGAACAGGGGCTCAGCTTGGTGGTGTTTGGTTGTTCTGCATCCAGCTTGAACCTTTCACTGTAGCCTGAATTTCTGTACACATCCTTAGAGCGTGAATACAACGGCTTTAAAAAATATTGTGACATACCATCGGTTTTCCATGTTTTTGTATTAAATTAAACTGTGTGAAGGCTACACTGGCCCTGGTTGGTCTCAGTGAGCCCAGCCCCTCAAGCGTTAGCAGTTAGGTAGTGCTTGTTGTAGTAGTTATTTTTGTTTTTTTCTGTGCTGGTAATGAAAAAGGATAGAACCGGCTCCAATTTAGGCTCTATACACATTGACAGTTTGTAAGCACTGAGCAACTGGCACTCGTTGTCATTTCCTTTCATAGGTAGTGCGATCTGTTACTTCCGACAGCAGAATGTGCCATTTTATGCATATTTATGGCCTTATCACCTTTTGCAGCAGCGACGTCAGCAGCAAGAGCTCCTGAAGCTCCAGCAGCAGCAGGCCCTGCACCAGGCGCAGCAGTCCCACGCCAAGCTGTCCAGCTGGGGCAACGTGGCCAAACAGCCAGTGGCTACAAAGTCTCTGCTGGAGATTCAGAGGGAGGAGGCCCAGCAGATGAAGCAGCGGAAGGAGCAGCATCACCAACAACAACCACACCCCATCGCCACCCCACAGGCCAAACCTCAAAACAGGACTGTATGTGCATCGTCTTTTTACACAGCTCTATTTTTTTTCTCCTGAATTCAACCAATTAGGCACACGCATTTTTTTAATCCCTAAATTCCAAAGGAACATAATACCTTTGCCTGAATTTATGTTGTACAAAGCCAATATTCGGGTCTCAAACCAAAGGGGCAGCCGTCAAAGCATTGCTGTATCTAGAAGACCAGATGGTTGATGATCAGTGAATAGTCCTGGGCAGAATAATCTGTATTTAAAGTAACTGTTGGTGTCCCTCTGAACTGATAGCAGCGCCTCTTCCTTCACAGACATCTCTGAGTAATTCTGTGTGGGGTTCTGTCACCACCGGCACTAACTGGGGCTCAGACCCCAGCAGCATCTGGGGGGACACTCAGAACTCAAACATGGGCTTCTGGGACGAGGCCGTGAAAGAAGCTGTCCAGCAACCCCCTCAGACTAAAAAAAGCCACGCTCAGAAAAACAACAAGGGAAATGCCAACCTCAGGTATTATTATTAGTTTGGTTTTTTTTTGTATGCCACATAAGAAAAGTGCCTTGCTCACGGCCTCTGATGTAGAACAAGACTTTCCGTTTGAGGGGTATGAGTAATCTTGCAGACTCGTTTTGCCTTCTACTTTGTGCGCGTACAGTAACTCTACGAGTGGGCGAGCCAGTAAGAAAGTGGAGGAGGAAGAAAAGCTGCTCAAGTTGTTTCAAGGAGTCAACAAAAGTCAGCAGGACACCTTCATGCAGTGGTGCGAGCAAACCCTGCACACCCTCAACACAGCCAATAATCTGGATGGTAAATCTTAGAAAGCACTGGCTACAAAGCGTCTCTGCCCACACCTGTAGATAGGACTCCAGAGTTACCAGTATTCTCCATCCGTCTCTCTGCCAGTTCCTACATTTGCATCCTTCTTGAAGGAGGTGGACTCTCCGTACGAGGTGCATGACTATGTTAGAGCCTACCTTGGAGACACTCCCGAGGCCAAGGACTTTGCCAAGCAGTTCCTGGAACGTCGTGCCAAACAGAACTCTAACCAACAGAAACAGACACCGCAGAACCAACAACAGGCCCTCAAGCAGCAGCAGCAGGTGAGTCCACCCAAACTGAGATTAGTTCAAAATTTCGACATTTTCTTTGTTGTTTATCTCTCCCGCAGACATGTCTTTTAATGAGAACAGAATGTTGCCTTTCAGTCTTGTGTCCCATTCACTTTCTCTCTTAAGGATTCTGTGTGGGGCGGAACAGGGTCCTCATCGCTCTATCAGTCCAACCATACGACTGGCCAACAGCAGCGCTTTGAGACCGTCACCTCAGGGAAGAAGAAAAAGAAGCAAAAGATGGTCCGGGCAGACCCGAGCCTTTTAGGTCAGAATAAACGTCCAGCTAGCAGATTGAAGGAAGTCTGCTCTTTTTTCTTTTTCATTCTGTATGCTGATTGAATCTTTCCGTCTATTCCACTGACAGGTTTTTCTGTGAATGCATCATCTGAGAGATTGAATATGGGAGAAATCGAGACTTTGGAGGACCTTTAAGAGACTGCAACCAAGCAAATCCTTCTGACTGTATCCAGTCTGAACAGCAGCTGCTCTACCCGAACCCCCCTGTCCTTATCTGCCTCCACCACTCTCACCTTTACGTTTTTACTTCCCCATGAATCAGGCATACTCGAGGCATCTCTGAGAAATGAGAAAATTGTTAAGGAAGCAAGACATCTGGAGCTGGGAATGTTCTCCAGGTGCAAACTCACCTGTAACCGGAGTATCTGGTGAATGAAACCTCCAACCAGCTAAAACGAGATACAAACTTAGATTTCTGGGGGAAGTCTGCAGATGCGTTGATGCGTCTCCGTCACTGTCACCGGCTCCATCCAGAATCACGTCATTTTCAAACTCCCAGAAACGACAGCTTTCAATTTCGGCCTCCGTAGTATCTGCTTTTTTTTTTTCTTTTTAAGGTGTGGATGATATTTAGATGGGTAGTATGGGAAAGGTTAAAAAGATAATATCCATTGATTTTTGTTTTATTTATTGACGCTCCCCCAACTCTCCCACCCCCCTCCTTCTGCCTACCCCCCTACTTCTTTTCAGCTGGGTGTTCATGGATAATGGTGGCAAAGTAGAGCCCAAGGATTCGTGCTCACTTATGTCCTGTTTTAAGGACATGTTCAAAAGTTCCAACTAGTTATCTATTTCTTGTAAAATACTAGGCTGTTTAAAGGATAAAATTTCAATTCTGCATCTGTATTATAATATATGAAAATTATCTGCTGGAGTCATACTTTTTTATTGCAGTATGAAATAATAAAACAGTCTGATGTGTAGGCTGTTCACATCTGTGTCTGAACTATTCGGAAAAAAGATTCATGGCATCCACATTCACTCACCCCAAAACAGAAATAACCTCGGTGTTATACAGGTTATCTTAATGCGGAAATCCCCCTCGGACACAAACAATAGACCTCAGTGCGTGGTCTCAAAAGCACATCTGAAAACTGCTCAAGAAGTCAGACTTGTCCTCTTACAAGTCCACGGTGAAGTATGCCTGAAGTAAAGTTGGTCGCTGTTTTTAAAGTATTACAGAGGAAATGAAACCTAACAGATGCTTCCAACCAGAAGTGCACATTTACCACCCCCAACCTGTTGCAGCTTCCACTTGATGCTTGAACCCTGAAAATGCATTATAACTGTATGCTGAATGTACAGTGTAAATGGGTGAGTGCATAAAAGTAGCAATGATAGCATGAAAGACTTCTATAGGTGTTATTTTTAGTTAATCAGGCAAAACGCAACAAAAGTGCTGCCACTTTCACTTTGTTCCGCAGTAACCGTTAACACATTCATTCAGGTGCCAGATATAGTATCTTTAAGATATAAAAAGATATTAAAACTACTTCTACTCCATTAAATTCACTACACATCTGTTAGCCATAAATCATAACTAATCTTGAGGAAGTTTCCTGTATTTTTCATAGACATTTAGCTTTTTTCCATGTCATGTAGCGTGATATTTATTTGAAGTGTGCTGTTCATTTGACCCAGCTAACCCCACCACCCAAATGAAGGGGGAATGGAAAATGGGGATGAAAGAAAGTGTTCAGTTTACAGCACCTGGAGGAGCAGAAAGCTAGCAGCTGACCTCTGTTTCTGTGGACACCAAGCCTGAATATGCACTGTGGTGAGTTTGTTGTTTTCTTTTGCCTCAAATTACAAATTGGACTGAAAAGAATCACCCTCAGACTGGCCTCACTCAACTGTAGTTGATAAGAAATCTATCTAGAAGAAGGTATTTTGCTGGCAAATGATCAGCTTTTCTGGGGATCTAACAGTAATTAGACTGAAAACCCCAAAATGCATTATAATCCTCCAGTAAGCACTGACCACTGAAGCAGGAGATGGTCTGGACTCCATGGATGGCTTTTTATGGGTAAGAGGTATTGTTTTTGCTTTTCCTTTTTCCGATACACAGCACGTAGAGACGTTGAATACTGTCTCCTAGTGAAGTGGACAGTGGATATTTATGTATAAGATGAAGAACTTTTGTGTTCTAACTCATCTTTAAGTAGATTGCCGATTTTTGTAGTGATCACAAAACTAACTAACTTAAATTGTTTATTTAAGATTTTTTATGTGTGGTATTAAAGGCTAAACCAAGACTGAGATCAGATTTACAAATCTGATCTAGTAATTACAACTGAAAAAAATGTTATAATTATATCTGCTTTGAAGTAAATCCTCACCCCATCAGTGAGATCTCTGCATGCTATCTGATATCTCCAGTGAGAGCAAAGTGCTGCAGATATCTCTATAAAGTGGCCTGTACACAGCCAGAGGACGAGTGTTTACTCCTCACCCCCAACTATGCAGCCTAAGGAGTTCTGAGGGGGCTTGGATACGTAATGATGTGTTCACAAAGTGTGCACTGTCCAAACATGACTGTGAACACCTTGCTCCACCCCTTCCCTCAACCCTCAGCTACCTACCCCATTCCCCTCCTGGGCTCCTTCATGCTTCTGTCCTGCTCCCTTCCCAGGGTCGGCTCCTCATCATACGCGACCGCTCAAGCAGTTCTGGAGACGCTCATCCTCCGCAGCCGCCGCCATGGTTCGCAGCGTTATCTGCAGAGTGGTCCTGCTGGTGCTCTTCAGCCTCTGGCTGGACTGTGTCAACACAGGTAAAGCCCCCGCTGAAGCGTATAACCTTTGCTGCATCTGTTGCTAAATGAATTGGACATTTTCTGCAAAAGGACTCGTAAGAAAGCCTGCGGTCGTATTTTTGGGAAGCACATGAACCATGAATCACTTTGAAAAACTGTTTGTTTCTTTCTTTTGTTTTTCTACAGTTCAAATTCAGAAGGAAATGCATACGGCAGCTGCTTTAGTTAGTCTGACTGTGTCAAATCAAAGCTTTTCTGTGCCATCTTTGAGTCCCTTTGCACACATGCACAGACACCTGTGTGTGTGTGTGTGTGTGTGTGTGTATGTGTGTGTGTGTGTGTATGTGTGTGTGTGTGTGTGTGTGTGTGTGTCGGCAGCCTGGTGCAAAATGATGCAGTTGTTAAAGCTTTGAGAGCTGTGAGAGCTGTGAAAGCTACTCTTTGACAGACAGCATGACTCAGTTGCTTTCATCATGCCTGATGGTTTTTTGAAGCCTTAAAAAAAAAACTGTCCTTGAGCTGAGTTGAAATGACTCAGTGTGAGCTGTACGGATTTCAGGTGCTGTGAAAGTTTCAGAAAAAATCTTTCTTTAGCTGCGTAGACTTTTTTCTTTCTCAGAGAAAGTGTAGTTGAAAACCGTCAGATGAGCCCATCACAGCTCTTTTCTGTCACTTTCTCTTACTTCTGCAAGTTTCTTCTGTTGTTTTTTCTTCTGCAGCCTCTTTCAACTCCACTTGTAAAATCTCTGGGCACTGTGGAGGATCTCCCAGGCCCAAAGGTTAGCGTTCAGGTCAATGGGGCGGTGGGATGAACAAATGTGGAACAAGGGCCTGTGTGTCCCCGCTTTCCTGTACGCTGAGAAAAAATGAAAAGGTTTTCAACTGTCTGGATGCTCCTGATTGCGATAACTAGAACCTGAAAAAGTCAGACGATTAGGAAGAGTTTGACACGGTTCTGTGAAATTAGCTCAGGCACTCGTGGATGTCATCGTTGCCACACACACACACACACACATACACACACCGTAATTTTGTCTGTGTTCCAAGTCTTGACCACAGTCACTGCGACAGCATGACTTTCAGCTTCTTTTGTACATTCAGCATAGGAGAACAATGTGACGCTGACTCACACGTAGAAAACAATATGCATCATTACTTCACTTTTTTTTCTTCCCTCCCTGCTACTCTTCTAATTTCACAGAAAAACTTACAGGCCACTACTTTTTTTTTATGTCACCTCCGCTCGGGATGATTTAGCAGGGTCAAACAAGGGCACACACAGCACAGTCCGTGTCGCGTTCGGGCTCCATCCCTTGCGGTTTAGATGCTCTGCCGGGTGACTTTTCACACCCTCTCGTCTGTGTGCTTTGTCCTCTGCCTGGCATGTGTGAAATCCTGACCAAAGAGCCCCGAGATTGCAACAAATGGTCTCCTATGTTTTTAGTGTCTGAGGTCATCCTCCTTTACAGCCTTAGCGTCTGTAATGAGTCTGAGCTTTTTACAGGGTTACAGAAAAAAGTGATTCGGCTGTTCCATCAGGTCAGTACAGAGCTGGAGGGAAAGAAACAGAACAGGAAAAAAGAGATGGTTTGATTCTAACTGTTTGTTGGTCATGGTAGAAATAATAGTCTACAGCTATTTTCAATTTTTTAACATTTTTAAGACTGCGTAGCCTCTGTTGAACGAAAACAATGTGAATTTGGCATAAATCAGCCCGAGTAGTTGGACAAAGAAAGCGTATTTGCTATATCTTTTTTCAAAAGCATGCTCTAATTACGGCATTTCTCTATAATTCAGACAAATTATTCAGTGGTGAAAGGAAAGAAAAAATGTAGAACACGGAAGGTTCTGGATGAACTTTTGCTATTTAGTTGGCAAGCGATAATGAGTATTGAATTGAATAAATAGCCAAAAAGATTCATGATGAATATGCATGGTTAACCAGGATCTGAGATAATTGTTCATCAATAATTGATGAAATTAACCATGTTTGATAAATGTAATGTAATTGTAATCATAAGGTTGAACGGTTCCCAAAAGTGGGAAATAAATGTCTAAATGGATATACTGTTAGATACCACAGCGATAATTAACTAGAATTATGACTGATGATAATAATAAAAAGTGATATGAGTAACTAAAAATAGTTCAACTGTTGAAAAGGTTTTTTGAAAAAAGCTGAACTGATCAGTAGTTTTAGGCAGAGCTGTTATGTCTGAAGATAGAGATGAATTATCTGGAACATTTGGAGGGTATGTGGGCTGGCATCCCAAAGCTGAAGGTTTGTTTTTTCCCGATCCAGTGATGTTTCAGAAGTTACGACCTTAATTAAACCCATCCTACTGGAAACAAACATCCCCCGATACATCATGTTATTATTTTTGCCTTCTTATTAAATTAATTCTTCCAAAGGCACAACCTTTTACACACAGAGACTATTTAATAAACAAGTTTGTTTGACATCCAGAGTCGAGCGGGGGCCTAGTTTGGGCCTGGCTGGTTGCTACTGGTTGCAGCTCGCCACTTGTGTGACCGCACAAGCAGCCTTTTATGCCCTCGGCTGAAGACCTCATTGATGGGGGAGCTGGCTGAAGGCCCGGGCCTCCAGGCCCTCGGCCAGCTACAGGACAGGAAACTGTACACAACTCTGAGTCAACACAGCCGCATCAAAATACGCACAACAAACTTGCAACAAACATTCACTTCAGAATCAAAGTTTTATCTTTTCATCTAATGACTTGATGCCACATCCTGTTCTAACCGACGGTTAATGATCACATTTATCCCCTTTTCTCCAGGATCATAAACGAAGGGCTATACAGCTGTTCTTTAAGCAGAGAGGTGGCAGCAGTCTCAGTCACTGAACTGTTAAAGAGTTGTTTAGGCCCTCAGGTTAGCATTTCAGATTGACTGCAAATGCTAGCTAAAAAAAGAAAAAAGAGAAAATTGTGGCTGGGAAAGACAGTGTTTCTCTGGCTGCAGCAGAGGTGTGAAAAGTCTCATGTTCACAGGAGAGGAATGTCCGACAAAGACAATTTGGGGTGGAAAAAAGAGGACAGATGACCGGTGATGAGAGAAGACGGCTTTAAATTCGGCCCGCACGGCCTTGTTTGTTTGCTCAGAGGTTTGGTTGGGGCCTGGTGGAAAACAGAAACACGGGTTAAACTGACAACATGTCCTTCCTTCACAAAGAAAACGTTATGCTCGGACCTGAGAGGTTAGACAAGAGGGAGGCTGTTGGAACCGTTACAGAAGGACCTGTGCATGCCCTCCGCAACCTCAAGGCCTCCAGAGAAAAGACAAGCAGGCCCAGTAGCAAAGCTGTGTGCCTGCTCGGTTATGTTACTGCCCTAAGTAAACACAGCAGACACAGGCAGTGAGGGACTCCACTGCTGCGTCTGGATCAGGCATGTTGGGAAGCCGGCCTGATGAAGAATATTTCTCCTTGTTGTGCAGAAACGCTAGGAGAGCCTGCCTCAGCAAGCAGAGACTACCAGGACACCATTTCTGGAGAGCCACCAAGTGATGTCTCCACCAGAAACCCTCCAGAGGCCCAGACAGAATCAGTCACAAGCGACTATGAGGACGCAACCAACTCCCAGAACTTGGACGAGGATCAAGGTGAGACCGGCGCGTCTGGGGCCGATTAGCGTTTTGGATCAGATTGTAGATGCAACTGCCTGATCCTCATTTTGATCAACCGTCCACACACACATAACAGAACCAGACCGTCTCTGTTATATCCTTGTATTTATTATTATTATTATCATTATTAATCGTATTATTTTTTGTTGGAGATCACAGTGTGTAAAGCTGTGAAAATATCCTGTTTTAAATTCTGATATTAGCGTTTCAAACAATACCAAAATGAAAATGAAAGCTTTTTAAAAACCTATAAAATTGACTGTGTCGGTGTGCGTGCATGTGCGTGTATGTGTGTGTATGTGTGTGTGTGTGTGTGTGTGTGTGTGTGCGCGTTTGCCCGCAGGTGTTCTGGGGCCAGGAGCCATCACAGCCATCGTTATAGCCGTATTTCTCGGAGCATCCGTCCTCCTCGCCCTCATCGTCATCACACTCAGGAAGTTCATGGCCTCTTAGAGTGAATGTTGCTCTCTTCTGTGCGTGTGTTTTTGTGCCAGTGTGTGTGTGTGTGTGGTGTGTGTGTGTGTGCGCTTTCACAGCAAAAGTGTTTGCGTGCCAGTCGTCTGCCTGTTGGTTCAATCTCAACTTCAAGCTCCCACCCATCTCCTCCCACACAGATGAGTTGCTTTGCTTTAGATGCTGAATATTGCGGCAGGTCCCTTAATTTACAGTGAAACTCTGAAGACAGAGCAGAGGAATCTTAGAAACTGGCTGGCTCTACCAGTGTAACCACAGCACATCTTTTTGAATTTGTTGTGCTTTATACTTTCCTCCTAACAATCGCTTTTTGTTTCTAAGTAGTTTTTTTTTACCCCTTTCTTCTGTAGATCTCTCTTTTTGTTTCTTGCGGTAGTTTTGTAACACATTCTGTTTCTTCTCATCTCCAAATGGAAATGCTCTGAGTGCTTTTCCTAAATTTAAATTCATGCCAAAAGAATCCCAGAAGCCCCCCCACCCCCGTGTCACACTTTAACATATTTAGAAGTTTGTATTACACCATTCACAAACATTTGCAGAGTCAAAATAAGAAGAGAGTATTTCTAAAAAGGGCTTTCGGGGAAAAAGAAACATTCTCCAGTAGTTTGTGCCTGCAGACCATCAATATGAGGGTAAAGCACATGATCTCAGCATTTAAGGTATATGTCTTTCTATGTTTTGAGAAACAAAATGACTTCAGTATTATTCTTTGTTGTATCTTTTCTGTGTGTTTCAGTCCTTTGCTGAACAGCTGGTTGTTGCCATGGTAATGTTCCCAAATATATGTTGAATAAATAAATGAATTAGTTGCGGAACATCTGACGATTGTGTGTTCTTTTAGCACATAATCAAGATATTTACAATAAATATTAAACGTTGACATTTGTTCCCATTTGTGTCATATTTTACTTATGTATCCATTCACAAATTTTTGTAATGTTTGTGCGTTAGCTCAATGGCATGTGTAACACATTTCCATGAAAAACTGATACAATCCAAACATGCTTTAGGAAAAACATTTTGGAATCAGATTATTTTCTAATTCTGAAGTTCCTCTTCAAATAATTTAGTATATTATCAAAAAAATGATTATCATACTAGAAAAATACCTTTAAAAAAAAATTAAGACAAACGCCAAAAATACAAAGGCTGGAAATCAACCGAATGTAATGAGACAAGACGTGCGGATGTAAGGGCACTTTACAGGTAACAGCAGGTGGCAGTGTGCTGAGCAGATGAGTTTGTTTTCTTGAAAGGGGAAGTGAAATTTCCCGCTCATGCCTCCTTTGGTTTAACTGATTTAGTTAACCCTATCTGCAATATATCTAAATGCGAATTTATCAGATACTTAAATGGGGCAGCCAAACATTCTCAATCCGAAGAATCAGTTCAGTTATCTCTGCACCAGAAACCAGGAAACCCTCACAGACAATCACAGTCGAAATCTTCTTTTGCATCTTATCACATTTGCTTTGATTGTCGTCTCTGATAACGGGGAAAGACTTGTAAGAACACTGGTGCAAACTTACTGTCTTTCTGAGTTATATAAGCGACCCCTGAAGAAAAACTCAAATGGAATTGAGTGAAATAAAGAGAAAGGGAAACAAATGAATACATACATGTATGTTAAGTCACATGTTCATGGCTTATTTTTTTGTCAATGTAATGGAAATGTCTGTCTGTGGAAACCCAAACCACAATCAAAGACAGTCATGAGAGCCTTGTGACTTTGCCAGCTCAAATCTCTCCTCGGTCAGATTTCATACACCCAGCGAATGCCTGTTTTGATGTTTGTGCAACTCTGTCTTTCAGATGACACGACTGTGGCCATTTTAGCTTTACCATCCCAGCCTGAAATCTGTAACTTTGTAAATTTGTTTAATACAAATTTTTTGCCTCAACAGTTTTCACGTCCAATATGAAGTTGCCACGTAGTTTCTGGATTCCTCGACAACTACTGAATGGATTTTCTTATCCTTTCATCTGTTTTTTCCCCTTTAAAAAACTACATATTCAAAACAGCTTTGGCAGTAATTGTGCTGCAAGTTTCTGATATTCAAACATGCATTTAAAAAAAAATGTATGTAAAAGAAACAGCAAATGCACATTTTATGACTTCTATTTCACAATGTTACTTTCATATTGGGATTTGTGCAGGTGGTTATAGCAGCATAAAAGAAAACCATGCTGCAGTAAACATGCAGGTGTTTAAGGGTGTAAAAGAGATAACTGGACAAGTTCAACTACCGTGAACATCTGAACATACGTATTCGACGTGTGGCACGACTCAGGAAGTGGTGATGAAACAACAAAGGTAGAAAAGCAGAAGCATGTCTGGCACAGCACAGACATTCAGACAGAACTGAAAATTCCTCTGATTCCGATAAGAGGTAAGATCACAGCTAACTTTCATAGTTTTTACCATACCAGAGACCTAAAAATCTTACACTTCACAGGTTATAGTAAACACTTAGCAATTTGGTAATTTTGTTTAAATAATTTAATCATAAGAGTAAATAAAAGATCTGAGAGCAGATTTACAGCATAGGTGGCAGAAAATACATTGCCAAATGTTCACACACCATCGTTGTAGCTGTTGCCTCACACACAGTTATCGGTTGGCTTTCGGTAAACTATTAGTAATTACTCAATAATTGTCACACGGTGACATTTAGCAACTTATATTAAGATACGTAAACAATGAAAACACAAGGCGATGTAGCTGTCAACACCAAAGTTTGTTTTACTTTTCTTTATTTAACAAACTATCTAATTGAATTCAGTCTGGGCAATTTCCAGTTACATATTCAGATAAAAATATAAACGTTCTCACGGCGTCAGTGGCCTTTACAACAGAAACAAAAAAACAACTGCGATGCTTTTGTACCCACAGAACTGAGAGGTTTCAGGTGTGACTTTGGTGGTTTGAAATGTGAATATAACTGTGTGGGAAAGAACAGTCATGACAAGAGTGGGGCCTATTTCACAGTCTCTCTCCTGACTAAATCTTTGCTGTGAAATCTTGGCAGGGCCAACTAAATCAAGTCAACTTGATTTCCCGCAGTGACGCCATGACGAGCAACTGCTCTTTCGATGGTGTGGACAACACCATGAGATATTTGGAACTGGTCATCTACATCCCCATATTCCTCATCGGGTCGATTTTCAATGTCGCAGCACTGGTGGTGTTTTGTGTGTGTCTGCGGAAATGGACCGAGTCAACCATCTACATGACCAACTTGGCTCTGATGGACCTCCTCCTTTTGCTCCCTCTGCCTTTCAAGATGCACGCAGCCAATAACAAGTGGTCCACCCACTTCCAGCAGCTCTGCTCGGTCTTGGAAAACCTGTATTTCGTGGGGATCTACGGCAGCGTCTACATCATTATGTGCATAGCCGTGGACAGGTGGGTGGCTATCTGTCACCCGTTCAGAGCCAAGCAGGTGCGTTCCCCCAAAGCGGCCGTGATGACCTGCCTGGGGGTTTGGGTTCTGGTGTTTGCCGCCATCTTTCCGGTCACCCACACCTTCGGGGAGGACAGGGAGTCGCAGTTCCACTGCTTTCATAGGTTTTCGAAGAAAGGCTGGAGCCCCGGGGTGATCATCTCCCTGCAGGCGTTCGGGTTTTTGGGGCCCGCAGTGGTGATAGTTTGCTGCTCGGTTCATACCATCTGCACACTCCGTCAGTCCGGCCACCACAGCCCTCAAAGCCAGGCGTGCGTGAAGATCATCTACAGCAGCCTGAGCGCCTTCCTGATTCCATTCACGCCCAGCCACCTGGCCATCTTCCTGCAGTTCCTGGTGAGCCACACTTTCAAGTCAGTTCAATAGATCAGAGGTTAGACGTGATTGCAATGAAACTGTTTATTGATACATTTATTTTATATGACTATTTTTTGGGGTTTTATTTGATGGTTTTACTTGTTCTGATATCACCTGCATGCTAAAAGTGTTTTTGCATAAAATTGGAATGAACAAAGATTTTCAGATCATTCAAATGTATGAGAGAAACGTTTGACAACAGGTCAAAGGTCAACACTTTATGAAATTTAAGAATCTAGTTTTTTTAAACCAAACAATAAGCAATATTTTTTAAGCCATTTTTTATTTTGTTTGTTGTAGTTGGAGAAAAACAGTATATTTAGTTTGACTTTGACACACTTTAGAGTCTTGTGCGCTTATTTGAACGCTTCCTCTGACAACATGTCCACATTCATCATACATACTTTGACAGAACATAGATTAAATTACCACTTCCTCCTAAATTCACTAATCTTTTCTTAGCTTGTATTCTCAGACAACATTTTTTTTTTATCAATAGCTTTACTGATATCTTTATTAAGATAATCTTAATAAAAATCTTTTTATGGCGACAGCTCAGTTTGCGCATATTTTTGCCTGTTAATTTAAATCTATTTCAATCCAACACAACTTTTAATTTCTACTTTGGCCAGAAAAAAACATATATAGTTTTTAGCACCAATGAATATAATTTATGTCCTGAATTTTCAATGCCGATTTCTCCCATGCTGTGCAAAATCAAATGATTTTCTGGTTGTCAGCCATTCCGTTTATGCCGGTGAAGATAATGTTTAAACACCCTGAGAACATGCAGCTATAATGCATTAAAAGCTACCATTGCATGTGTTTTTTCAGGTGCACCAAAAAGCGATTCAGGCCTGCAGCAGCAAGACCTCGATCAGCTTGTTCTTGCAGGTCACCATGTGTCTGTCCAACATCACCTGCTGTTTGGACGGTCTGTGCTACTACTTCATTGCCAGTGAGGTGAGAAGCCCCAGACACAGGATGTCAATGATCCGCCTTAGAAAACCTACATTTAGCACTTCCGAGGTCTGAAAACGTAAAAACCGATGACTGGAGGCTGGTGGCAGCGAGTTCTTTTTTTTTAGCAAGGCAGTCAAACTGTCAGACTGAAAAGCATGTGAGCCAATGGGTAAAAGTTAAAACAGGTCGGAGTGCGTTTAACTCTGAACTGATGGCAGAGCATTATGGTTTGGACCAGCAGCAGCGGGGAAGCTGCAGGCACATCTGTGACTTCAAAAAGCTCTGATACCATAAGTGTAGACTGTAAAAAGAAAAAAAAAAACTCTACCAAAAAACCTCAATGTGACGTTCAGAGAGCGAAAACAACAGAGACCTTACGACAGTCATGACGCTGACTATTGCAAACAGTAAGTGAAAGCTGATGTTGGTAATGATTAATCTTCAGATCTGTCATAGGCGACTCGTGGCAGCATTTTCAGTTTAGAACTGAAGTCAGACTCATGAGAAAGGAGCTTAAACTGTTCTGAAGATCTCACTAAAGACTAGATCAACAGATCATGCACAACCAGTGATTATTCTATTCTTTGATGACTGGTTTTTTGTTAAAACAGACTAGTGATATTGGCACTTATATTGTGAGATGTCACATCTTGGGGAAAAATATTATTTCCGAAGAAGTCATATGCAATTAGGTGTTTAACTTTTTTGGCACAATACATAATTGTCTTACATTCTAATGAAAACATTTGGGCTTTTTGTTAAACAATACCAAACTAAAGGCAATGATTCAATGGACATTTATTCAATAATAATTGTCCAAGTTAGCAGGATAACGACACTGGCTCTTTAAAAAGGACTTTTCCAAAGTTAAAAAACAGAAATGATCTCCTTTTCAAACATTTTCTTTTTTCTTTTCCTAGTTTTGGTGTCCCGCAGGTGTTATGATGAAGAATGATCTAATACTTATCTGTAAATAATGATTGAGGAAAACTCATGAACATGCTTGAGTTTAATACATTTGTTATATTTTCAAATCAAACCCTGGTGAAAATCAGGATTTAATTTAACACATTTCCAGTAATAGGAAAGTAGGAGTTTAATGAGAAAAATTAGAGAGCTTCAGGTGGTTGTGAAATTGTGGGACAGTTACAGGAGAATTTTTACTTTTTTGAGTACTGTGGGGAAAAAAACAGAAGTATATTTAATAAAAAGCTCAAAAAGCTGACATGTTTTGCAATCCTCATGTTTAATGGCCTTATTGTTGGAGCAAAGCAGGACGTTTACAAACCAGAATTTAATTCTAGGATTTAAGTGATCCTTTTTTTATTTATATGTGGAAGTGCAGAAACAGGATCTGAAACTATTTTATTGTATTACTTCAGCTTTAAAACTTTAATTCTGTAATAGTTTTATCTTTATTGAGTTTCATTGCTGAATATTTGTGCACATTGCTGTTCTTCTTTTCCGTTATTCTAGTTTTGTTTCTTTAAGCGATGTGACTCAGCTTCCAAATGCATTATCAGTTTGATTTGTTCTGTTCAGTAACATGTAGGATGAAAACAAAGTGGCATATTTAACAAGTAAAAGCCGTTTTTGGTTCATGTACAGACTTTTAAAAATATTTTTACCATTGTCTTTGCACTGTTGGATGTATTTCTATGGTTAATGTCTGTAAAATCTCACTGTTTGGATTAATTTTGAATATGATAAGATCTTTCTTACCAGACTTGTCATTTTTATGTTGTACAGAAAGGTCATTCAGCATTTTTAAAATATCAATTCAACATTTGTGATAGAGAAATGTTTGATCAAGGGGACCAAAGTATACCGGTTATCGTCCCAGGTATTTACTTTCACATCTTTGTGCTTTCGGAAATGTTCAACTGTAAAATTCAATGAAACAGAAAAATGCAGAAAAATGAGAAAAGTTTAATAATTTATTTCTAAAGCAGCAAGATATTAGAAGATAAATTCACTGTACAGTCAAACAAAGTGTGAAAGACAATTAAATTGTATGGCAACGTACATAATAACAACAAACTTAATGTTTTCAAGTTGGGACAAGTCAACATTATAGAGATAATGTTGGACGCATAACAGCTAAAGACGAACGGGCAGCTCTGAGTGGAGGAGGAAGAGCAAAACAAAAGAGTGGGATTTAACCTTTGATATCATCTACAGCTCGTGATCTAAACTATAAAGCACTCTTTATAAATATTATAATCCTTACCACTACGCATAGCATCACTGACTGCACACTTTGGTTCCTTCAGTCCCTCTAAAACACTGCTACTAATTACAGTCTAAAGCCATTTATATCCAAGGAGTAGGAAAGTGTGATACCAAAAAAATGAGAGGCTAATCATAAATGAATGATCTTTCACAGAACAAGTCAATTTCTGATAGAAATCTATGAATTTGATACCAAGAAGAAAATCAATTTACATTATATATTGCTTAGGAACAATCAATGTCGTATGTACATAATTAACATATGATATAAACCAGCAAATTAACATATTAACTACATGAGGTATGTTTTGCCATTTTCTGACATTTGGACAAAAAGACAAGAAAAAACAAAGAACAAATTCTGAAAGAAGTGCACAGTGCGAGTAGCCTTCCAGTTTGCTTACTCATAAAGAACGAAAACAAGTCTGAAATAAAAAACAAAATCAAGTTTTCTGATGTACGCGTCCCAGACTGACTTGAATTAACATCTTCTGCTCAACAAGACGAGCTACAGATAAATCCAAACACACAGGTAAGATTATCCACATATACATACAATTTGAATTAAAAAAGACATGAACATTGTACATTGAAAATAAAAGAGCAGTTGAAGTCGAGACAAAAACTTTCAAACTGAAACTACTGGTTTGCTCTTAAAGTGCAGTTTAACGCCTAAGGAATTCAAGAGGTATGGTTTGGAATTGGCTTCAGAGTTGGATGGCTGTGATATCCGGCTCAGATTTAGAACCGTTCGCAGATGACGGTCTCAACCACAAAAGTGTTCACAAAGTGGCGGATGCTGTGACACCTCTTTGTCTCACGCCTCTCGATACCTGGAAGAGAAAAAAGGTGACATGTTCAGAAAAATCTGATCGGTGCTGAGATTCATGGTGCTGCTGCTGCTGCCATGCCTACGGCGCTGATTCAGTGGTGGTGGTCCCCCCCCCACCCCGCCGTGTCACATCCATATATGGACTGGGGGAAGTTTGCCACAGCATTTCTAAAAGCTTCGAGGCCAATCAAAGACGGCAGAAACCAAGTTACCACTCATATGAAATCACTGCCTCCTCCGCAGTGTGTGGACGTACACACGCTGCATTGTGAGTGACTCACACAGCAGGAAGTTCCCAGACTGTGCCCACACACACACATGCACACACACACACACACACACACACACACATGGTCATCAGACTGCCAGTTTGTCTGATATGTTCACAAGGAAGCCCCTATTTGGCTCTAACTGCACACGCTTTCTCCTCGGTCACTCTCACCTTGCTCCCACACATCAAATCTGGACTCTGGGTTCCCTGTGATTCACTCCTCAGATACATAGAGATCACAGTGACCCCCGCACACATCACATGACTCAACTTCTAACTGGAGTTGGTGTGAAAACTAGCGGAAGTGACCCAGCACGTATAACTCGTTTTTCTGGCATCGCGTAACGGCGTAGAAGATGTGAAGGGTACACTCACGTTGGCGCTGGCTGCGGCGTCTGAGGCGGTAGGTTTCTTTGCCAAAGCACAGCCTGTGGATGAAAGGGCCCAGCTGCCTCATGCTCCTCACCCTCCCCGTCACCACCATCTCCTCCTGGACGATGTAAGTCTGGGGAAGGTACGTCCCTCTCTGCGACAAAGAGACGGAAAATGAATCCCTGTGACGCGGCCGACCGGGAGAAGGGAACATGATGTCCTTCCCTTTCTCTGACGGGCATCATGCTTTTAAATCAGCGAGACCGGGAGCGTTGGCAGCAAATCAAGTGGCTCACCTGGACATTGATAAGCAGCTCCCACAGGCTCCGTGGAGGCATCACCAGGGTGGTGTTCAGCTCGGTGATGTAGCATTTGTCCAAGGCAATGTCGTGGTAAGCTGTGAGACCCTGGAGGGCATGAATGAAAACACAACCTCAGGTTAAAGGGGAAACACTTCAGCAGGGAAAATGTCCTCAGAGGGGGATGTTGTTGGAACCTACCCTCTGGAAATCGTGGATGATATCAGCTGGGTCGCTGCCTCCAAAATGAGGCACAGGTACGCTGATCTGTTCGTAGTTGTCATCGAGGTAAATGCCAACATTCTCCTCCAGCTCTTGCCTCCCCCTAAGGGGAGCGTATACGGAGTCCTCATAGACGACCCTGCAGTGGAACAAGCTGTCCTCTGGGATCTGCTGACGGGACGCAACACAGCTGAGTTAGCACAGGACATCCACTTCAGGTTGCGTCATTTCAGTGACAGCGGGGGTTCTGGGGTGGGGTGTATGAATCCTGTACTCCACTAACCTGAGGTATAAAGTTGTAGCGATAAATGTAGACAGAGGCCAGCACCAGTCCCGACAAGAAAACCACCAGGCCAAAGGTGAGGCAGCACAGGCCGGTCGGAAAAGGCTTCCTGGGCCTGACAGGAGGAACACCCTGTCCCTGTAATGAAGAAAAAAAAATCCAAAAAGGTTAGACGGAAGCTCAGGACCTTTAGGTAAACCTGCGGTTGTTACAAAGAGCAGCTTTCATTGTGAGTCTAATCAAAAAGACTAGTTTTTCAGCAGTGCAAAAGGGGATCTGATTATGCGAACCATTCCTAAAGGACATATTTTAGTTCCACGTTCTGGTACGTACTGTATAGTTTTAATGAAAAACTACTCGTCAGTACTGACTGTTTGTGTAACTGTTTCTCTCTTATTTCCTATTCGAACGCCGGGCATCAGTTGGGTATACTAGCTTGTCACAACGTCATGCACTCCTCTACAAATTCTGAATTGTAAAAGAGCTAATTCTGACAAGAATAGATTGCCAAGTTGTGAGTCAGGGGAGGAGATCTGATAGACGTAGGTTGACTGGAAGACATGCCAGATGCCCACCCACGGTCTCTCAGTCAATCTGCTGGCTCTTCATACTACCGTTGCTATGGAGAGCGGAAGCAAGGAGGACAGATTGTGCCAGGCTCTGACGAAGACGCTGGCACGTGGCCGTCTGGGTCTATTCTTAGAGCCCCGCTTCCATGCTCCATATTTGTAGATATTACATCCCGGCCCCCTGAGTGGGAGTGAAAACGAGAGCAACTGCGTAGAGCAGGAGTCTCTGAACAGAGGTAGACGTATTAATAGATCTACGTGTATTGGCTGTGACGTTTCACATCCCGTCTTATCCAATCAAATCCAGCAATCCTCTGACATCCGTCTATTGACGTAACAAACAGCTACTTTTTTTTCAGAAGTGATGAATTTGTTAGCAAGTGGTCCTCACTGTGTCTGGTTTCAGAGCCAAGTATATAATTATCTTCCCCTCACAGAATTTGGTTTAGAGAGGTAACTAAGAAACCTGCACCTTATTTCCCAAACTCCCCATTTATTTTAAAAAATTCAAAAAGGATAACATGGTCAGACTGATTTCACTATTTATGTTTAACTCTTAAGTTAAACATTTCTTTAAGATTTTTTATAAATATAAAAACAATAACCCCATTAATCTATGTAGCCAAAAAAAGGGGACTGGTTTAAAAGAGTTGACACAATATTAAACTGTGAATGGTTTAACAATCATTACATGATTTTTACCTATTGCATAAACTCATTTTCTGCTGTCAATCCCATCTGTATTCAGTTGCACCACCTAGAGGATCCACGTGGTATAACACCTCCTGACATAGATGCTGCAGCACCACACACTTTATTGTTGTCTCAGGAAGACAACATGAAGTAACTGAGGCACTATGTTGAACCTACAGTAGGAAATTTAGTATTTTTTGTGTGTGTGTCTGTTATCAATCGAGATTGTAATAACCACTATCAGCATTTGCCTCACATTTAGCTGATGGCCCACCCTTTGAGAGGATAGCCATCTGCGGTGTGCCCTCTCTGTGGCCAAGTGACATGACGTAATGTCAACATCTCC